ATCAAGTCGGAGAGGCTAAACAGAGGAAGATTTATTAGGCTAGTTCAAACAAAAACAATATCTAACAGACCATAAAACAAAACTAGCAAGCAAGCAAATACTGTCACTGACTTCATAAAAACATTCATGATTATGTAAAAAGAGCATAGCATCTATGTAGATTAATCAAAGTAATATTTATGGCAATACAAAACAATCACAGTACTGATATTAATAAAATAGTTTGGGGCAGCTCCTAGAAATGGGCAGGAATGCAATTGTACAAATGGAACAAGAGGCCTCTAATTTGTGAGAACTGTAAAACCACAATGAAAGCAAAAGCTTCAATATAATTTTTAAAAATGAGATGCCTCTTTAATATAACCGTAAGTATTAAGAGAAAACAAAGCATTCACTGGCAAAGCATGAAGATTTTATGCTTTTATGTTCCATATTTCTAGTCCTTCACTCGTGTCTGAAAATGAAATACAATAATCAAAAAAGGAACACTCTGAAAAGGTTGAAATAATCAGAGTTGATGGTACTGGATCAAGTCATGACAATATGTCAGTTAAAAAAACTAGCAGTGTTATTCTGCTCAGTGATAAAACAACTCCCATCTGTTCAAAAATGCATTTAAGCATATGCATTTCTCTCTCTAAAACTCTGGAAATGCAGATTTAGTTTTGAACAAGTAAAGGAGCATCACTACAAGAATCATGAAACTTTTACCAATAACCTAACCCATGGGTTAGCTATGGGCCACCAGCACTTAGCTTTTAGTCCTAATTTAATATGTCTACATTAAGGCAATCATTATCCATACTGAGAAAATCTGGATGGCCATTAGATGGAAACACACAGAAACAGAAAAATTTCTTTTCTGCCAATACTGACTGTCGGGTTAGGCTCAGTTACCCAGTCTGAAAAGGGCATGAATGAAAGCAACAATTGCAGCATTGTTGAATGTTCATATATCATAACAGAGCATGTACTTCAAAGCCTGTCCTTTTCCCAGCAACATTTGGAGCAGATAATGAGCTAAGTCCCAGGTAAAATAACTGACAATAATTGACCTAGGTCCTAGGAGGTAGGTCTTGCCTAGCAGTTAAACCCTCTTCAGATCATAGATGTCAATTCTAACAAAGAGAACCGAAAATTTTCAAGTCGTATGAACCCATGCGGGGCTCTTTTGATTCAGCAGCATCTCTTGCAAAGGCAAATTGCCAGAAATAAATGAAATGAAGCTCAGACTCAGTAAGAGTTTTCCTCTCCCGATCATTTTCCGACGGAAAACAGATTTTGCAAAGAAATCATCAAATACGGGTTTGCTCTCGCCGTATATCCGTATATCTCGCCAAGAGTCACGGCTGGATTTCTGCTTATTGCAAGGCTCACGAACACGCCGAGCTTCTATCGTTTAACCTACGCAAACAGCTGCTTGAAAGAGCAACGCTGCGGCTCTTGCACGAATGGAGGTGGAAGCAAACAAACCAAGGCTCTTCCACACGTATTCCTGACCCGACCCTTGTTCGATCTAGCCACGTTCCTCGGCCTACTATTTATAGGGAAGCCTCCACTAAAACTCTTGTTTCTGAGACTCTCAACCGGCCCCAGCTTACCATAGCGCTGGCTCCCGCGTCGGCTGCTCAGGCCACCCAACTTGCCGAGGTTCGCTCCCAGCTCAATTCACCGACGTGGAGTTTCCGGCTTCAATTGTTCTCGCGAGAGCCAAAAACTAAACGAGAACATCGGGCAAAGACTCTTCCGGCGCGCCTTCTGAGCAGGGATTTGGAGATTGAAGAAAGATAGAGATAAGAAAAAGTGAAGAGGAGTTTACTCCGCTTGGATAGTCTGTTTTGACATTCTCTATTAAATGGAGGTCGTTTCTGTCCCCTTCTGAGCATTTAGAAAAAAACTATTAAATATACTATAATATAATACCATACGGATTTACTGGCTAAAGCTCATACTGTGTCTGTGTAATAATCTGCAGACTTTGTGATTCACATTTTGTGATGCAAAATGAAAGAGTAGCATTCTCCTATATGGATACTTATTTTTCTTTCTCAAACGGGCCTTAATTGTAAGAATTAAATATAAGAAAATGAAATGATTGGTTATGTAAACCTAAGTTTAAAAGTTTAATGAAATGGCCATCCAGTCTAGAATTACTTGAAGATTGTGTATGTCATCCTATAGGATTGTCTTGTTCAAGTTCCCATTGTCACTGCTCTATTGATATTATTATCCCCGTTCCCCTGATTCTGATTCTGATATATGAGCACTGTCAATAAATTTCATTTTTGGCATTAGTTTTATCCCCAGGAAATGAGAATGAGTCCTTAGCCTAGACAGGGTGTAAAACTGGCGGCCTGTGGGCTGGATGTGTCATGCACAGGCCACACCCACCCTGGCTCCACAAAGGTAAAAAACATTGTGCTACACCGCGATATATCACGTGACACAATCGAGTTTGACACCTGAGGCCCTAGTTGATTCTAACTAATAAATAGATCTCAAAGAATCAAGTATCTTGATTCTTACTGCCAACTTTTAACTCACCTTCAGCTATTGTGGAAAAAAAAGAGTGTATTTGATTTAGATGTACAAAATAATAGATCCACTTTAAGTCTTCACTATTTTGCTTTTGTCTACACTTCAAGTATCTTTACAGCATCCTCTGCCCTACACAGAATGGAGCTCATCTCAGAAAGATTTGATACTCTGAAGGTGATGGTGGAAATTCAACAATACCTGTTTTCAAGAGCATATTTGCATATGTTCAGAATACATATTTTCCTTAGCTGTTCTCTGTGCCATATCTAATGCTTAGAGCTAACTTCCTTACTCAACAGCGTATATAGAGGGAATTTCATCAGAAATTATTTTCAAATTGAGAGTTCATTCTGCAACTATTGCAATCTCTAAGAAACTCACAATATTCTGCACTGTCTATGAGATTCTCAGTAATCCAAGTCCTGGTTGTCCCAAAGATGCTTTTTCAAGCAGCAATTGGACTTTTGTCAGTTGTCAAAAGTCCAGTTGCTGCTTGAAAAAACACCCTTGGGACAATATTCTGTACTGTTACAATTATGGGATGTTAAGTCTAACAAGAATGCCTTTTGACACCTACACAGTCTAGTCTTGATTTTTTTATACAGATTCGAATTTTTCTCTGTTCTTTCCATCTATTGTTAACTGCTTTATGTGATCATTGTTATTTTTTACAGTCTGGTCTATAAGTGTACATCAAGTACATAGAGACATAGGAAAATAGAAAAGTCATATGTCTTCAGGGTATTAATTCTATAATGATTGAAACTAGTGATTAAGCTATTGGATAACTACTGCGAAGATTCAAGAAATGGAAAATCATTGAGTGGCTTTAGATCAGTTATTCTCTCAATCCAACCTACTTCACAAATTCAATGCTAGAGAAATAAAATGAAGAGAGATTCCCCATGTAAGTTGCTTTTAGCTCTTGGAAGAAACTCTGAGTATAATTGTAATACAATGTAATATTTTGGTTTTGGACTTTGAAAGTATAAATATAGTGAGTTGAAGAGGGTATTTCATGTCAATGTCTAAAAAAATAGTTGTCAATTGATAGTAACTGATACAAAGTTAGTTATACAAATAACAAAGTTAAGATTAAAACATTTCTGCATGTTTTCCATTTCATTATCTGGTTTGCTGGTGTGTAGTGCAATTGGAATGGGTAATAAAATATGAAGTTAATTGTAGCAGCAGTAATGAGCAAAAGGCAAAAGATTATTTTGTATCAGTTTAAGATGAAATAGTGGAATTTGTAATGAGAGGATTTGCTTGAAGGACAAACAAATGAGAGCTATGAACCAGTGGGAACTTAGTAAATTTCATTTTTGCCCTTGGCCCATCATAAATCACCTTCCAACACAACACTGTCATTTCATGCCAACTTTATTTGCATAGGTTTTAATTATCTGAAATGGATGTTTTCCTCATTTTACAGAACAATTTGGTTAATGATCTTTATGTCATGATTTTCAACCAGATAGAGATAGGATGGCTGGCAAATACCCTTTAAGAGGCTTTTGTTGAAAATAATATATACTTCATTAACTCTTACTGAGCAGATGGTAATTTTAAATATCTGGCCTAAATTTCAGTTTATGATTTTGGTGTGATGGAATATCTATTCCATTACCCATCTGCTAATTATTCCATTGTCCAGCTGCTGAACTCATGAACTAAGCAGCCAAGAGCAGTGTGTGTGTGTGTGTGTGTGTGTGTGTGTGTGTGTGTGTATATATATTCATTCAGATGTTTAATATTGTTCTGGCAATGAAAGACTAACATAATTTCTATGTGCTTGTTTATGAATAAACCCATTGAATCCAACAGGTCTTTTAAAATGCATGTTCTAAATGAAATAAAGGATTGCACATTTAGTTATCATCATTGATTATATATTTATCTTGGTACTGTTAACATTCATTTTAATATCTGCCAATCAGGATTTCGGCTTTTAACCTGAGAAATGGTGAAACACAACTCAAGCAGTGTAGTACATTAATATACACATTTTAATGTGCCAAAGGACAAATGATGGCTGGTGGAAAACCTCTAGTAATGGAGCACCCACAACTTCTGAAGGCAAGCCTTCTACTGGTTAATTTGTTTTTGTCCAAATTACTGCCAAAACAGCTGCATCAACGTTTGGTAATTAAGACGAATGGGAGGGGAAAAATCCAAAATTTTATTTTAGCACAATGTTCTGGAAAGTGTCTATTTATTTTCTCCCATAAGGATACAATTATACAATTAATTCTGATTTAGTTAGAATGCCAGGTCTGGACTGTCCAAATCCAGACACAAATATTAAGGAAAGCTTTGCTGCCGCCTCTGATCATCCGGAGTTTTGTAGCCCGATCTGCTATGAAATCAGCCTGAGACAAAAGATATTTTGAACCGATGTTTCCTAGGACCCAGCAGAGACGTCGGCAAAGGACCGATTCAAACGCGTCGTAGGTGACCAGGGATCTTCAGACTGCTGCAACCTCAGAGTGGGCGATCGCCATGAGTTTGGAAGCGCTTCGGTACCGCAGGGGATCCCTGCAGATTCTCAACCAGCTTCTGCTGCCTCATCAGACTCTCTATGAGGAAATAAGCAGCGTTCGCCAGGGCTGGGAGGCCATTCGGTCTATGAAGGTGCTGCCAAGGGGGGTGGGACAAGATAGCAATTACCGAGTTCAGCAAAAGAACGTTGCACGTGTATCTCTAAAAAGCACGGTGATCAGAGTCACCGCCACGTAGTACGGAGACACGTTGGTGTTACAAAGTCTCTGGAGAGTCTCTCAGATTCTGAATATTGACTTATAGATGAAGCTTTTGCGGAGTTAAAAGTCCCGCAAAGTTAACAGTAAAAGTGAGGGCATATAAGGATTTTAGGCAACAGACAAAGAGTCCTGGTTGTGTTCATATCAGAAAGGCAAACTAATCTTTCACTGCGTTGAATCAATCCCAATTGGCTCCTATGGGGAACCAATATCCGCATTATCAGCCACAAGGGCAGTCTTCACAAAGCATGCTAATCTAAAGCCAACAAAGCATGTTTGGGTTTAATATGACATACAATAACTGTAAATCTCTTTGCAGGTGTATGCTTACTGTTACCTTACCGTATATTCAAACCACATCCAGGGTACTAAGTTTAAGCTACAAAAATCCCAACAGCCAGTAGTGGTAGCAAAACTGACTTTATGATGCGATCTATGAGGACCCAGATTGTTGGGGGTAATATGCTGACTCTGTAAACCACTTAGACAGAATGCTGTAAAGCACTATGAAGCGGTATAAAGTGCTATTGCTGTCTAATGATTGTTTAGAGTTGCGCAAACCCATAATAAGCCTTATGTAAGGCTTATTATGTGGTAGCCTTACATAAAGCAATATTCACATACCACATTAGAATAAAATAAGGCTTTGCATTGGATTATGGTTCATATTTTATCCAAATTCAGCCATTGTGTAACAGATCTGCATTCAGGTAGTTCTTGATTTACAACAGTTGAACCAGTATTCAACTATTGTTGAATACTTTTTTTTTTTTTTTTTTTTTTGTTATCCTGGGCGGATATAATTCTTGTGATGGGACATGAGCAATGTAAAAGCAATTTGATTTTTTGGGAATTAAAAAATTATATTTCTCCTGATTCAGCCTTAAAATTGTATTTGCTTTTTTCGCAACCACCAATTCTGCTGAATGTTTTGAGTTTATTGATTGCTATTTTATGTATTGATTACTATTCCAGTATCTCTTTCACAGGTACCATTACTAAGCTACATATCCCTTATCCTATATCTGTGCAAGTTTATTATTAGAATAGTTCCAATATAGCCTACTTTCCATTTCTCTAACACTCGGTTTAGAAAGATATGCGGATGTTACATTATGCCCTTATTTATAAAGATTTACCTGACTTTGGTACCACCTTTGGGGGAAAGAGGATTTTTCTATTTTTACACCATGTATATAGCCTGTGTAATGGTTTCAATTACATTGGCCACCAGGGGGCAGTGGAAAACTAGTTAATTTAACTGCACTTGTATGTTAAAATCAATTTACAGGCAGTTCTTGCATACCCAGCATTCATTTAGCAATTTTTCAAAGTTACCAAGGTGTTGAAAAAGAAAACTTATCACCAGTTCTTGAAGTGTGAGTAACCAAAGTATGGTCATCTGATCATAATTTGGACACTTGGCAACTGGCCTGCACTTGTTGCAGCGTCCTGTGCTCAAGTGATCACCATTTGCAACTTTCTTTGCTGGCTACCCACAACGAAAGTCAATGGAAAAGCTGGTAAAGAAGGATGCAACTGACTGTGGTAAGTCGCTTACCTCCTCCCCTGCCTGGCAGTGTTGAATATGAAGTTCCGCACTTTCTATGTGTTATTTTAAACTGAAAATAAATATCTCTTCTTAGGTGCGAGGTGCTCCAGCCATTGCCATTATAGGTTGTCTGAGCTTGGCAGTGGAATTGCATAATAAAGGAAATGAAGAGCTGAGTTTGGGTAACCTGGAGATTTTTGTGTTGGACTCACTAAACTACTTAATAAGTGCCAGACCTACTGCTGTCAATATGGCCCGGGCAGCTCAGGAGCTGGGACATTTTGTCCAACAGGAGGCAAAACACGAAGGGACTACTCCAGAGAGTTTACGAGAAAGGTGAGGGTTCAAGACCCTATCTTCTTTCTTCCCCCAAACTGTAAGCAAGAAACATGCAAGTTTGTGTAACCTCTTATTGTAGCGTGATCAACTGGGCAGAAGCGTTGCTAGACAAAGACCTGGAAGACAACAAAAGCATTGGGAAACATGGAGCTTGCCATCTCTTGCAACGGGTAGGGCAGGACAAAGTGAGAGTCCTGACTCACTGCAATACTGGCTCATTGGCCACTGCTGGTTATGGCACTGCACTTGGTAAGTGGCATCTCTCTGCATTCAAGAAGCATTACAATTTCTGTTTTTTGTGACAAAAGGGTAAGAGACTATGGTAATACAGGTAGTCCTTGACTTACAACCATATTTGGGACCAGAATTTTCATTGCTAAGCAAGATGGTTAGAAATTGCTATGCCTTGGATGCTTCTGGATTGAAAGGATCAGCCAGCTATAAGCAGTTGTCCAGGGAATGCTCAAGTGTATTAATAGCACATATTCTTTTGGGAGGCTCCTTTTATGTTTTTATGTTGTTTTAGGTCATACAGTATGACATAATTTTTGTCACTTTGTGTCATATAGTATGCCTTATTTTAATTGTGATGTTTCTGACACAAATAAACAAACAAGCAAGACAGTTAAGTGACCTTTTTTGTCATAGTTCTTAAGAAAATCACTGCAGTTGTTAAAAGAGTTCTGTTGCCAAATGAATCTAGATTTCTCCATTGACTTTGCTATCTGAAAGGTTGCAAATAGTGATCACATGACCCTAGGATTCTGCAACCATTGTAAATACATGCCAATTGCCAAGCCTTTTGAATTTTGATCACATGATGCTGTAGTGGTCGTAAGTGCAAGTACTGGTTGTAAGAGATGTCACCTCTTATAACAGCCTTCCTCACTATTCCAAGTTTGCTAGGATTTCAGCTGAAGGAAGACTTCAAATTTCTTGGTATGTTGACAGCTTGTAGCTTTTTATATAGTCTTGTTATTTTGACTTGGTTGTAACATTGATCCATAGGTATCATTCGCTCGTTACATGCCATGGGCTGTCTGGAGCATGTTTACTGCACTGAAACACGGCCATATAATCAGGGGGCCCGGCTGACTGCTTATGAATTAGTATATGAGAAGGTGCCTTCAACACTCATTGCTGATAGCATGGCCTCCTTGGCAATGAAAGAAAAAAAGATATCAGGTAGATGTCTTGATTTCTTCTTTTTCTGCATTACTGCTGTCCTTTCTAGATATCATGCTAGGAAATGAGTACGCATGTGAGTCAATGGCTGGCCAAGAGGTCAAGTTGTTAAGGAAGATGCTGTTCAGGTCACTTAGCAATACCGATGTCTTGGTAATGGGCATTCTATTTAGTTGGATAATAAACAAATCTAAAAGCCATTAAAAGCTTAGTTACAGCCTTCAGTATTCCTTGGTAGAATACTTAGTGTATATGATTAGTGGCAGCACTAATCATATACAAACGTAGAAAAGAAAATCTTGTTGGAAGGAAGAACATATGGAAGTCAGACTTGAAAGCAATGTTTGTTATGTAGGAGTCTCAGTTTGAATCTCTAATTTCACTTAAAAGGGTTTCAGATGAAAGGACAGAGAAAACCATACTTGAAATTCTGGGAGGGCTGCTGCTACTATGAATATAAAAATATATGGCTTACTTCTGTGAAAGGCATAGTTCTGTTTTCTGTATGCTGATCCCTAATTATATTTTCTTACTGAATAGCCTACCCTGTTTCCCCAAAAATAAGACATCCCCTGATAATAAGCTCAATCGGGCTTTTGAGTGCATGCACTAGAATAAGCCCCCCCCCCCCCAAACACATGCACAGCCGTCCCCGCCATTTTCTCTGGTTAGGGTTAGGAAGACAGAGCTGGAAAGCAGGTAAGACGGCAAGAGGAACCCTGTCTTGCTCCACGTGCCCAAAAATAATAAGACCTCCCCAAAAATAAGGCCAAGTGCTTATTTTGGGGTTCAAAAAAATATAAGACAGGGTCTTATTTTCGGGAAAACACGGTAATACATGCAACATCCCAAGTCATCATCTGACTTAAGTTTTAGCATATGTATTGTGTGAACCCAACCGATAGGAATTTAATCAACAAGCCTTACTTAAACCATGGCTTCAACCCAGTTTAACCAAAATTTCTACAGTCCCAATAAACTCTAGGACAGTGCTGGCTACCCTTTTCTGGACCGAATGCCCAAAGCGTGTGTGAATGAATGCGTGAGAACCCCCCAAATGCAATGCATGCACAGCCCCTGTGCATGCGCCCCAGTGCATGAGGGCACACCCCCTGTAAATGTACCCCAGGCATGCATGTGCGCCCTCACTCATGTCCCGTATGCACGCGGGACATACTTTGGGACATACAGGTTGTAGCATTAGGCTTTTAATTGTCATTGTCCTTCTTTTTTTAATCCAGCTGTCATTGTGGGAGCAGACAGGGTTGTTGCCAATGGAGACACTGCCAATAAAATTGGTACTTATCAGCTGGCAATTGCTGCAAGATACCATGGGATTCCCTTCTATGTGGCAGCACCCAGCACTTCCTGTGACTTGCAATTAAAACATGGAGGGGAGATCATTATTGAGGAGCGGCCAAGCCAGGAACTGACAGACATCAATGCTGTACGAATTGCAGCACCAGGTAGCAAAACATTGGAAGGTTATATGTAAACAAAGGTGGTTTGTAAAGAAAGGAGACATGATAGAATATTAATATTTTCAGTACTATTTGAAATCAGCGATCTAACAATGGCTACCTCAGTTTACATAAATCTAGATGATGTATATATTTTGAGCAAGTTGTCATTGATCAAGAAAATGTATTCTATCTTGAATCTCCTTGGATACATGACAGTCTAGTAAGCTATTATCTACTTTTTGAAGAATGACAATTGATTATGAAAATTTAGTCCAAAGTTTCTTGAAGGACATCAAGTTGCCTACCATTGTCTGTATAATTTTTTTTAGTCTTAAAGCATCTAGATATCCTTTTTGCATCTTCTCTTTTTAGAGATGCTTGTTTCCCATTTTAAAAAACTAAGCCATAACATTACCATTAATGAAATAACTACATCTGTTATATAACACTAATGGAACAGCACATATACTTTCTTTCTTCCTAGGCATTGGTGTTTGGAATCCAGCCTTTGATGTCACTCCTCATGAACTGATAACTGGTGGTATTGTCACTGAGTTTGGCGTCTTTCCTCCTGCTGAACTTCAGGCAGCCCTCACAGTGTATAAAATATAAAGAACCTGAGTTAAGTTGTTTCAGATAGGGTGTGAATCTAATTTTCAACAATTGTTACTAGGGCTTCTTTCCCTAATCTGCAATGTTTCCAGATGTTTGGAATGCAGAATTTTGTACAACTGAAAATTGTAGTTCCAGTACCTCTGAATACCACTGGGATTTGGGGAAATTGTTCTAGAAACGTTTGATTTTGATGGGAATGCTTGATATTTCTGCAAATTCAGCAAATTAAATAATGTTTGTTTCTTGAGTTTCATCTACTTTGGCTTTGTGAAGGTTGCTTGATTTTGGAATGTTTGAGTCATACTATGACATATAATTTTTCTTTGACTTCAAGTGATTTTTTAAAAATATGTATAGTATAATTCTTTATCTGAATCATTTTTCATTTGTTGCTTAGATCTCTTTATTGACATTCTACTATGTATTCACTGCCCTGGTGGCACAGTGGTTAGAATGCAGTATTGCAGGCTAACTCTGCTCACAGGAGTTTGGTCCTGACAGGGGCTCAAAGTTAACCCAGCCTTCCATCCTTCAGAGGACTGTAAAATGATGACCTGGATGTTGGGGGCAATATGCTGACATTGTAAACCACTCAGAGAGTGCTGTAAAGCATTGTGAAGCAATATATAAGTCTAAGTGCTATTGCTAATGCACCATTTTCAAAACTGTTCTTAAGGTCCTTTGGTGTTGTATTTCATATGATTTTAATCTTATGACAACAGTTTTCTGCAGCATTGCCTTCCAACGTAGGAGTTTTGTACCAGAAAATCTTTTGCAATACATTTTATGTAAACCTAATCTTGGTAGATATAAAAGTATGACCCTCTACTGATCTCTCTATTGGGGAAGAGGCAAGGAAATTCAGAAACAATAGCCTATCATAATAAGGTTCATGGCAGAGGTCACCATTGGATTACTTCTGCTTTACTTTCAGTAGGGTAACTGTTTAGGGTCAATGTACATGACAAATATAAGTTGTGAATGTATGACATGACATTTAAGTTCCTTCTTGAGTACCTCAGATCTTGCAAGCTGATTCTTGTTTTCATTTTCTGTTCTTTAGACAAAATTCATTCCTCACAACAGGCCATGTATTTGTCATTACTTTTCATCAGAATAAGGTGAAATTCCACAATATGCTATTTTGAAATGAAAATTGGGTGCAGAAGGAGAAAGATAAAACTTCAGAGCAGTGGAATGGGATAAAGTTTCTATTGTGACAAATAAAAATTAAAAACATAGACAAGAATTGTTTTGAATGAATATTGCTTAAATACAAAAGTATGATGAGAATGTAAGAAGTTTATTAAGGTGGACTGAATAATTGCAAATTGAAATTCAACACACATACCCATACATATATACATACACACGAAAAATGAAAGGGCTGAAAGAAAGAGAAAGACTTAAAATATGATGATTCTCAAAATCAAAAGTTAATGAGATCAAAAAAAGAAAAAAAGTGATAAATCGAAAGCTCCAAAGCCAGTTCATGACACAATGTATGGACGTAGTGGAAGAAAGGATAGTTTGCAAGTATAGAAAAGTATGGAGAAGAAAAATAGAATAGAATAGAATAGAATAGAATAGAATAGAATAGAATAGAATTCTTTATTGGCCAAGTGTGATTGGACACACAAGGAATTTGTCTTTGGTGCATATGCTCTCAGTTTACATAAAAAGACAAGATACATTCATCAAGAATCATAAGGTACAACACTTAATGATAATAATAGGGTACAAAGCATTCAAATCATACTAGGAAACATCAATATAAATTGTAAGGATACAAGCAACAAAGTTACAGTCATGCAGTCATAAGTGGGAGGAGATAGTATTAGTGTTAACTAGATTTAGTTAGATTTTCTTTCATATTCTCTTTTATTTCTTTTCTGAAGTATTTCCTACTCCTTTTCTGTTCCTTGAGTAACACTGATAATCCCAAAGGAAATTGTGTGATGATGCATATGAATATGAACACTGCTCATATTTGACTTAATAAGGAGATATAAACAAAAGCATGAATAAATAAAAGCATGTACCAGAAATTGCGTTGATCCATAAACATGATCAAAATAGATAGAAGTTTAATCAATCTATCTGTCAATGATGCTGTTAGAATTACTGTGATTATGTATTGAAATGCTTTGAACTCTTCAAAGATTCTGTTCCTTAACTGTTTTAATACAGCAGAATTAATGCTGAAATGAAAATGGACAACCTCATATAGAAAGGAAGAATCTGTGGGGGTCTGTATAGGTATGGGCCATTTTAATTGGACAGAATGAAAACAACAATAGTTCATGCCCATAAATCTGTTTTTTCTAAAGCATTTAAATTTCCTAGGGCTTCAGAATCTATATAGGAGATTTTAAATTTGCAACTAATCATTTTCCAAAAGTATAGCTCAAAGGAATCTAAATTTAACTTACTGGAAGAAAAAAAGAGGTTATGCTAGCTTTGATTGACTATAATTTTCAGCAGCTGCAGATCTAACCCTATTTTTAAAAAATGCTGCATCAATTAAATGAACTGAATTTGAAGTTATGACTGCTGTAGTAGAGCTGATCACTACCTGTGTAAATGTTCTGTATAGTTTGGTTGCGTTTGACTGACCCTAATGATTTTTTATTTCACCAATTCACAGATGGGTTCTTGACGTACTGTGTTCATGAAAAATCCTAATGTGAAAATTTGCTTAAGGTCAGGATAATTTAAATAGGCTGTCAAGAGAAGCTTTTAGAAAACCCAGTATGTGACTCTAATCTGCAAGAATTCTCATTAGGTATGCCTTATATTAAGACATTGATTTTTGGCTCTGTTCCTTCAAGTGGAAAGTTCCTCTTTCATCAATGTGGATGGTGGGTATATTAAAAATAATTTCTCTCTCTGGATGTTGTAATGCCTATTTAATGGTCTTGATGGAAAGGTTAAAACCAATTATTGTTGTGATCTTTTTCCTGCTGGCATTTCCATTGTGTATCATGGGTCAAACAATTAGCAACTATAAAAACCTTCATTGTAGAATGCTGCTCTTGTTCTATCTATGTATCAAGAGCAAATTAACATTTTTTTTTCATTAAAATGAATTCCCTAAGATTAGGTTATTGTTATGGCTTCGTAACATTTGCTACAAAATGTACCATTTCTAATCCACATGGAAATAAATTATTCTTTATTCCAACTATTGCCGAATATTTATTTTAACCACAACAGGAAGTTATGTGGGTTGTAATGGCCAGAAGAGGCAGGGACTTGGACATTCATATGTAGCAGAAATTATTAAAAAAAGGAAAGCCATAGCTTTATAAAAGTATCGATTTTATTTAATTTGTACAAAATCCATCTTTTCTTTCAGAAAATGTACTTTTGATTTTCTTCTTTCCTTGTCTAGTTTGGGATTCTTCAAATGAGACAAAAATGTCTTGTATTTGTTTAATTAAAATAATATCTTTTAAAATATCCTATTTATTTTGTACTTTTGTCTCTGGACCTAAAACTATGTTTTTTTGGCACTAGGTGGCATCTGAACTCTGTCCATTGTTTTAAAATGATTTCTGCAGGTGGAAGAATAAAATAGTTTGCTATTGTTTGTTTTTATTTGATTTACTGTAAAGTCATTTTGACAATAAATTTGATGAGCCTGATATATTTTATTTATTATTACTATTATTTATATATTGTTCATTGCTTGTGGCTATTCTTTCTACAGCTTTCTTTCTTTGGGGGACAAGACACTTAGTTTGATCAGAGTTTTGTTTGTTGTCTCCTCCTTCACTTATCTGTTGATTAAACTGCAGGTTGTTTGAAATAGTAAAACTTCAAACTTCTCTTTGAGAATTTGTTTCAAGCAATTTCTGGTTATAATGGTTATTAACATTAACTGTTATTCAGGTATCAAGAAAACATCAGTGTTACTTTAGACAGATATTTTGCTGCTAGGGAGACTCTTTGCCCCAATTTATTTTTTAAAAGATATAAAAATAAAGAGGAAGCTACTAATGACAGTCTGAGTCATACACATGATTCAAGATTCCAGCTGTCATTTATAAAGCTTTACATGGCACAGAGCAAGATATTTGCAGGCGTACCTTTCTCCTATTCTTTATGTTTGCCCTACCAGACTTAGCAGTGGCAGCATGTTCTGGGTTTTTTCCTTTGGACAGGACTATACAAATTGGCAGAATAGAATAGAATAGAATAGAATAGAATAGAATAGAATAGAATAGAATAATAGAATTGGAAGGGACCTTGGACGTCTTCTAGTCCTCCTGTTCAGGAAACCCTATACTCATGATGGCGAACCTATGGCATGCATGCTGGAAGTGGCACACAGAACCATCTCTCTGGGCATGCCAGCCATTGCCTGTTGGTCTTCCGGGTTCCTGCGCGTACATGCCAGCTGGTCTTTGCATGTGCGGTAGCGCCGGAAACCGGAAGAGCAGCTCCCTGGTGTGCATGCTGCCAGTTTCTGGGGCGTGCATGCCACTGGCCAGCTGGTCTTCGTGTGTGCATGTGTGACAGAAACCAGAAGACCAAGTGACGGGTGCGCATTCTGAGACTGGAAGCTCAGTTTCCCGGTGCGCACATGTGCGCCGGGGAACTGCTCTTCTGGTTTCTGGCGCTCCCACACATGCATGCCGGGAAGCTGCTCTTCCGGTTTCTAGTGATCCCCTGTGTGCGCACACTCTCCTGTTTTGGCACTCAGTGCCAAAAAGATTCGCCGACACCAAAAACCAGACAAATGGTTGTCCAATCTCTTTTTAAAAACTTCCAGTGTTGTAGCATTCACAACCTCTGTAGGTAAATTGTTATACTGATTAATTGTTCTAACTGTCAGGAAATTTTTCCTTAGTTTTAAGTTGCTTCCCTCCTTGATTAGTTTCCACCCATTGCTTCTTGTCCTACCCTCAGGTGCTTTGGAGAATAGCTTGACTCCCTCTTCTTTGTGGCAACCCCTGAGATATTGAAACACTGCTATCATGTCAACCCTAGTCCTTCTTTTCATAAGACTAGACATATCCAGTTCCAGCAACCGTTCTTTATATGTTTTAGCCTCCAGTCCCAAATAAGTAAATAAAAATAAAGTGCAAGTTTTTGATGCATCCTAGCTCCTGATCTTGTTTCTGTTTCTGTTTAACTGTTTCTAAATGGTTTTAATTGTTAATTTTATTGTGTTTTGCAAAAAGTCACACTTGTGAGATCAGTGGCCATATAAATTTTATAAAATTAAATAAATATTGTTGGACCCAGAAGTTATGCCTTTTGGATGGCAACATTTTCCTTCTAGAACAGCATCTCTTTGGAAAGTAGAATGTTGTTAGCCTTTTGAACAGCCAGGCTTTGTTTCCCAGATATTTGGACAAAAAGATGAGTAAGCTGTGCTGCTAATGCAGTTTTTGTGATTTTGACTTTATTGCTTTAATCATACCTAGTTTATGTGTAGTTCTTGTTTTAATCCTTGGACACTACCCTCAATCATGGTCTTGAGATGGGCAACCGTATAAATAATTTAAACAAAATAAGTAATCTGTCTTTCCAAAACAGTTCTAGCAGTATTTATTCAGAATAAGATAGTGAAGTATGACAATAGGCTGAACCAATAAAGAAAATTGGAAAGAAAGTTTAGAATGAAGAGGAATACTCTCTGTGTAGAAAGTGCCGAACAATCCCTACATTACAAATAGAATCTGTTGACAGAAGGATGTTCATATAGTCATCAGTTAAACTTGGCTTGAAAAAGAACTTAGCTACATTGTTTGGCAGCCATTTTATGAAAGTATCCCTAACATATAAAAATTCCACTCACTCAAATAGGTCAAAGGCTCCTGGTTTTAAGATTTCGTAATAATAAATCACTCTAGTTAATAATGGAAATTCATGTTCTCAATCCCCTTCAGGCAATGTCACAGGAAATGGAATCTGTAGGCTTGAGGCTTGTTCTCATAATGGTAAATTATAGCTGTTCATGGTAGATGAACATAACCATTTTTTTCATTAAAGTTCCAAGAAGTTCAAAATTATGACAAAAATTGGTGGAAGTTGAACACCTTTGTCTTGAAGCCAAAGAAGAGGCAGAGAATCAGTCTTGAAATATAGATTCTTACTTGGGTTTTTTAAATGGAACTATATGTCACTGTTAATGTAGTCCACAAAGAAAAGTTTGTTTTAACCTTGATACCATGTATTTAGTTTAACAATTCTGAACACCTTGTAAAATCATCAAAGCCCTTTGATTTAGCTGATCTTTGCATTAACTAGTAGATGACAATCTGTAGAACAATATCAGCGAGATTTTTTTTTACTGGTGAATATTTAACACATCTTTAGAGCTTAACAATGTACAATAAAAGTTCAGCTCTCTTGTTAATTTTCTGTTAGATTGCTTGTCCTGATTTCTGAGCAGTGTAGGTGTATGCTAAATTATCTTCCCTCCAATTGTTCTAAATAGAACATGATTAAAATGGGACTGAATTTCAAATAATTAAAGGAAAAAAGCCCTGAGTATAAAGTGTACGTGCAATCAGTACCTAGAGATTAACTATAGTCTATACAGTAATCAGAAATGGATGAGAGCAAGAGTTCATTAAACTATCTTTCCTACATTCTGAAAGACCATAATTTACAATTGTCTATAATTCACATTCACTAGTTAAGACAATAGAATAACATAAATCTTTTTTGTGTGGGTGTGCTGCTGCATTCTTTAAAAGGCGATGGATATCAGCAGCCAGATGGGCAACGATAGGTATGAGAAAGAGATTTTTGAAAAGACAAGTCACACATTTGTGAGGTAAAAAAGGTGGGATAAAAAGCTGAATTGGGACAGAATCAAGACTGAATGATTTGATCATACTAAGAAATGAATAGCAATCAAACCAACCAACTCTTAGAATAATGTGCATCTAAGTAACATTTCTTGGTAGCAGTGATTTGATTATGAATAGCAGTGAAAAGCAAATGAGAAGCCAAATGAAAGATCTAGTTAGCAGAAACAGCAGAGAAACATGATAAAACAAAACAATTTTGTAAGTCTAATTAAGGCTACTTGGAAAAACTACTAAGTTCAACAGAAATTGTTGCAAGGTCAGTGGGTACACAGCAGTGGTGGGTTGCCCCCAATTCAGATTGGTTCTATAGAAACAGTAGTAAAACCGGTGGGAGGCTCTGCCCACCGACTCCAACGTCATCAGGATGCTTCTGCGCATGCAGCCCTGTTGCGAACCAGTATTAAAGGTAAATAGAATCCACTCCTGGTACATGGTCATTTTGACACCACAGATTGCCCTTTTTTAATTACTGTTTTTTTTTTTAAACTGGGAAGAGCCAAGTGGGGTAGAATTTGCTATAGTGTTAAGAATAGAAAGGACTGGAATCTTTAACCTGCTTCCTTCTTTTTTATATTTTATGGATATGTTAAACTATTGGATACCTAGTCCAGTAATTTTGTTTCAATGAAATCATATGTGGCATAATGTTTAGGAGTTCTGGGCTTTTCATAGAGTGCATGATTCGACAGGGAGTGAGAAATTTGGAACAACAGAGTTCTAGTGCTGAAATTAGAATAAAAATGGATGTCAAAAAAAAACTCCAGACTAAGATAAGGTTCAATTCTGAGTTTGGCGAAAAGGATGTTTCACATTAAGAATAGAAAGGAGAGTTGAGTGAATTAAGGATGCATATGCTTTCTTACACCAAGGAGGACATTAGGTTATAGAAAAGCATGCTAAGGCATAGTCCCCAAAACATACGTGTTCAGAGAAAGAAGTGGGTGAGTCAAGACAAAAATTAAATTTGACTTTAATTTTAGTTAAAGTAAAATTCAATACCTGGGCAGGAATCATGTAGAGGTATTTAATACTTTTTTTTACATTAAATACTACATTTCAGTGACAAATTCTGGAGCTGCATCCAAACCTTGGAGATGGGATGGGGAGATTGCATGCATGACTCCATGAGATCAGGAGTTAGTCAACTTTGTTTTATCAGATCCCATGATAGGTTTACTGTTTGGCATGTCTGCTTTATATATCCAAAATTATTTCTTTGGAAAAAAGCATTTGGTGGTTGCATAGCATGGCCAAGAGACACCTATACTGAAATAAATGTTTCCTTTTATTACAAAAAAACTTACTATGCTTAGTAATTTCAGATTTGCTAATAGTTTATCAAAATGTACATGCTTCACTTGAGCGATTTGCTAATGCTTTCACATCTATTATTGGCAAAGAGCAATATATGTTTTAGAAGTTGCAACCAGTTATTTTAGGAGGCAAGCATTCTCTCTGCTCTTTTTATCATCTATGTATTAAATTTAATTTCCCAGTATGTTTGCTAAATATTTGTGTATGTTGGCATTTTGTTTCTTCAAAAAACTACAAATTTTGCAGCTATGAAATTATTTACCATTTATATTTTTTGTTTTAAAATGTCAGTTAAAAAACCTGTCATCTTTGGGAAGTAAGAAAAAAGTTGCATTTTTGAGACTTATTAGCATCATGGTTATTTGCTATGAAAAATCAACAACATATGAATTTAGCTAGAAAAGATGATAGTAAATAGATGCATCAACTCATAAAGATAGTCCACTGAGCAACCAGCATAATTGACTGACTGTTGTTGATCTTAAAAAAAATATATCCTAGGA